ATGATTTCAACAACTTCCATCCCACCATCAGCCTCAGCCTGGTCCAGTCCACACAAGAGATCCACTTCCTGGACACTACAGTGCTAATAAACAATGGTCACATAAACACCACGCTATACCGGAAACCAACTGACCGCTATTCCTACCTACATGCCTCCAGCTTTCACCCTGACCACACCACACGATCCATCGTCTACAGCCAAGCTCTGCGATACAACCGCATTTGCTCCAACCCCTCAGACAGAGACAAACACCTACAAGATCTCTGTCAAGCTTTCTTACAACTACAATACCCACCTGTGGAAGTGAAGAAACAGATTGATAGAGCCAGAAGAGTTCCCAGAAGTCACCTACTACAGGACAGGCCTAACAAAGAAAATAACAGAACGCCACTAGCCGTCACCTTCAGCCCCCAACTAAAACCCCTCCAACGCATTATTAAGGATCTACAACCTATCCTAAAGGATGACCCAACACTCTCACAAATCTTGGGAGACAGGCCAGTCCTTGCCTACAGACAGCCCCGCAACCTGAAGCAAATACTCACCAACAACCACATACCACACAACAGAACCACTAACCCAGGAACTTATCCTTGCAACAAAGCCCGTTGCCAACTGTGCCCACATATCTATTCAGGGGACACCATCACAGGGCCTAATAACATCAGCCACACTATCAGAGGCTCGTTCACCTGCACATCCACCAATGTGATATATGCCATCATGTGCCAGCAATGCCCCTCTGCCATTTACATTGGTCAAACTGGACAGTCTCTACGTAAAAGAATAAATGGACACAAATCAGATGTCAAGAATTATAACATTCATAAACCAGTCGGAGAACACTTCAATCTCTCTGGTCACGCAATCACGGACATGAAGGTCGCTATCTTAAAACAAAAAAACTTCAAATCCAGACTCCAGCGAGAAACTGCTGAATTAGAATTCATTTGCAAATTGGATACTATTAATTTAGACTTAAATAAAGACTGGGAGTGGCTAAGTCATTATGCAAGGTAGCCTATTTCCCCTTGTTTTTTCCTACCCCCCCCCCCACCTCCCCAGACGTTCTGGTTAAACTTGGATTTAAACTTGGAGAGTGGTCAGTTTGGATGAGCTATTGCCAGCAGGAGAGTGAGTTTGTGTGTGTGTGTGTGTGTGTCCCCGGGAAAAAGGGGGGGGGAGGTGAGAAAGCCTGGATTTGTGCTGGACATGGCCCACCTTGATTACCATGCACATTGTAGGGAGAGTGGTCACTTTGGATGAGCTATTACCAGCAGGAGAGTGAGTTTGTGTGTGTGGTTTCTGGAGGGGGGTGAGAGAACCTGGATTTGTGCAGGAAATGGCCCAAATTGATTATCATGCACATTGTGAAGAGAGTTGTCACTTTGGATGGGCTATTACCAGCAGGAGAGTGAGTTTGGGGGGGGGGGGGGTGGAGGGTGAGAAAACCTGGATTTGTGCTGGAAATGGCCCAACTTGATGATCACTTTAGATAAGCTATTACCAGCAGGACAGTGGGGTGGGAGGAGGTATGGTTTCATGATCTCTGTGTGTATATAATGTCTGCTGCAGTTTCCACGGTATGCATCCGATGAAGTGAGCTGTAGCTCACGAAAGCTCATGCTCAAATAAATTGGTTAGTCTCTAAGGTGCCACAAGTACTCCTTTTCTTTTAGCCATAGAAGGGTGATTGAAAGCTGATCCTACTCTGATACAAGAGCACACATTTCTCAGTACTTGAGATAAGCAAGACATTATCCACAGAAGCTGATTTTATAACTTATCCACTTAACCCCGTAACATTTAACACCACCTTAACACCCCAGAACACTTAACCTCTCTGTGCTTCAGTTTCCCCATCTTCAAATAGGGATAACACTATGCTATCTTACAGGAATGTTAGAATTAACTCTTTAACGACATAAAGGGGAGAACATGACAGGAGTCATCACTGGAAGGGGAGGAGATTTGATGAAGACAGATATATATATATATCTGTATATATATATATACACACACACACACACATACAGTGCAGTGCACCATTGTCTTCAATGACCAAAGAATCAAACATTGGAAAGGACAACTCTGGACCCTTCCTCTGCGACCCACTGCAGTCACCTCAAGCAAGGAAAGCAGGGGAAAACACACACAACAGAGGCAAAGGCTAGGTAAAAGCAAGTACTTATTTATTGTGATCCAGGACTCAAAGTGGATGTCTCCCTGCTGCCCATAAGGGGTTGCCTGTACTTGCAGAGCCAGAGAGACATGCAAGAGTCACTGAGAGATCTGGCTCTAGAAAAGACAAATGCCTATTCCAGTCTACAAACTATACTACACAGAGATTGGAGGGAGTCAGGGAAAATCAAAAATGAGTGCCTCAACTTTTACATTTGGTCACAAACCTGTGGATCCTGGGGCTGTGAAGCTGAATTAATTAATGCTTGTAAAGCACATTGAACTCTTCACATGTAAGAAGCTAGAGAAGTGCAAACTGTTATATCATCATCATCCTGTTTCTTGGTCACTGTCTGGGTGGATACAAATAGATTTTTTTTAAAGTGCTAAACAAATTTGAATCTTCTATAAGTGCAGAGAGAATATTTTCTTCATTTCAGTTTATTCAACTAGTTCAGGTTTCAGAGTAGCAGCCGTGTTAGTCTGTATCCGCAAAAAGAACAGGAGTACTTGTGGCACTTTAGAGACGAACACATTTATTTGAGCATAAGCTTTCGTGGGCTAAAACCCACCTCATTGGATGCATGCAGTGGAAAATACAGTAGGAAGATTTTATATACACAGAGAACATGAAACAATGGGTGTTACTATATACACTGTAATGAGAGTGATCACTTAAGGTGAGCTATTACCAGCAGGAGAGCAGGGGGGAGAAAAAAAAACCTTTCGTAGTGATAATCAAGATGGGCCATTTCCAGCACTTGACAAGAACATGTGAGGAACAGTAGGGGGAAAAATAAACATGGGGAAATAGTTTTACTTTGTGTAATGACACATCCACTCCTAGTCTTTATTCAAGCCTAAGTTAATGGTGTCCCATTTGCAAATTAATTCCAATTCAGCAGTCACTCACTGGAGTCTCTTTTTGGAGTTTTTTGTTGTAATATTGCAACTTTTAGGTCTGAAATCGAGTGACCAGAGAGATTGAAGTGTTCTCTGACTGGTTTTTGAATGTCATAATTCTTGACATCTGATTTGTGTCCATTTATTCTTTTATGTAGAGACTGTCCAGTTTGGCCAATGTACATGGCAGAGGGGCATTGCTGGCACATGATGGCATATATCACATTGGCAGATGTACAGGTGAACGAGCCTCTGATAGTGCGGCTGATGTGATTAGGCCCTATGATGGTGTCCCCTAATAGATATGTGGACACAATTGGCAACAGGCTTTGTTGCAAGGATAGGTTCCCGGGTTAGTGTTTTTGTTGTGTAGTTGCTGGTGAGTATTTGCTTCAGGTTGGGGGGCTGTCTGTAAGCAAGGACTGGCCTGTCTCCCAAGATCTGAGAGCGATGGGTCGTCCTTCAGGATAGGTTGTAGATCCTTGATGATGCGCTGGAGAGGTTTTAGTTGGGGGCTGAAGGTGACGGCTAGTGGCGTTCTGTTACTTTCTTTGTTGGGCCTGTCCTGTAGTAGGTGACTTCTGGGTACTCTTCTGGCTCTGTCAATCTGTTTCTTCACTTCAGCAGGTGGGTAGCGTAATTGTAAGAATGCTTGATAGAGATCTTGTAGGTATTTGTCTCTGTCTGAGGGGTTGGAACAAATGCTCCCTGAGGAAGGAGTCTACATAGCCAGACAATCCTGCTGTCAGGGTGCCAATGCCACCCTATACTGGAAACCTACTGATGGCTATACTTACCTACATGCCTCCAGCTTTCATCCAGACCACACCACACGATCCATTATCTACAGCCAAGCTCTACGATACAAATGCATTTTCTCCAACCCCTCAGACAGAGACAAACACCTACAAGACCTCTATCAAGCATTCTTACAACTACAATACCCCCCTGCTGAAGTGAAGAAACAGATTGACAGAGCCAGAAGAGTACCCAGAAGTCTTCCCAGGATCAGATCAGTAAATCCAGAATGCAAATCAAGGAAGGTTTGGTTTGTTTTTGTTTTTTTTTCTTTTTGGGGGGAAGGGGGGAGGAGGGTCAGGAAGGGCACGGGTTGAGATAGTAAAGATGGATTTTGGTAAACCAAGACGGGATGTTTTTCTATAAGTTATGTTCTAGTTGAAACAGGAATTAATTCAGGAAAGTCCTATGTCTCCAATACAGGAGGTCAGACTAGATGATCACCAGGGATTCTAGAAATCCATTTGCCATGGAAAAACATGGAATTTAGAGATTCTGTAAAAACAGTTTTTACATTTTGTGAAAAAATAAAAACACATTAACTATTAACTACATTTTACTGAAAGTACCAGTGTCACTTATTCAATGTGTGCAACCTCCCCCATTTGTGGTTGATTTTTGAATGCGTTTTAAATTTACATTGCTAAACATACTCCAATAAACTGCTTCCAGTGTATAGAGGTTACTCAACAGCATATAGGGGTTTGCATTTTAATGCATCTCAAATTTCACTTCAGCCTCCAGAGGTGAGAAATTAAAGTTATGAAAAGAGGCCAAAAACTTTAAAAAATCACCCCTAAAAACTGTCTCACTGCGTTTGGCAAGGAAAAATTTCATGTTGATGGAATTTCATGTTCATGTTCTGTACTGTATGCAGCAAGGCTATAGATTACATTCAAAGGCAGATAGTTGTAGAACACATGGAAAGGGCTAAATATAAACTGAATGAAAAGAAATGAAAACAAGAGGCTGAAACCACAGGGCCATCAACAACAGTAATGAAACAATTCACTGTAACCGTATCATTCGAGTGTTTATGCATTAAAACCCCCCCACAATTTTCTGAAAATATAGAATACAGACATACAAATATTTGGTACAAGTAAAAAATACAAATTGCAATTCTATTAATTTTATTATAGTGTTTGATGGCACAGGTAGGCTTTGAACTTGCTTAAAAATTGTAAATATGTCAATAAAACATTGCGTTCAACTGATACCTATACACATTGTGGCTAGAGAAACTAAAATTCAGCATTTGATTTTAATTGTGGAAAAATACGGATTTTTATGTTTTTTACTAGAGAATTTTGGGGATTTTCTTATCACAGAAAACTAGGATCCCTGATGATCACAATGGTCCCTTTTGGCCTTATCTATGAATAAGATTGACAAATGGAAACTGTACAATTTCCTCATTATTTTGGAATCATGATTTTGCAGAGTGCTTCTTCATTTGAATTCATGACCAACGGGTCAATCCTAGAAGGTGCTGAGCACGCTCACCTCCTGCTAAAGTAGACAGATGCAGGTCAGTCACTCAGCCCCTTCACTTACACACATAGTCAGGCCATTTGGTGACTTGGACAGCTGCAGATCTGGAAGTCAGGACACCGAGCCATTGCAGGGAAGGAGATCTGAGAGCTGAGGTCCCTCATTGCCTTGCAAATCCAGTCCATTTGTCTTTTGGAACTGCAAGTTGAATCCATCCCAAAAAGTAGCTCCTAATGTAGCGTATCCCAGACTTATTATTTCTTTGGTTAATTGTCTGACATTGACATCTGGAAGATCAGTTGTCTCCGCAGGGTTGATTTTATTTCCGGCATCTGCTTTTTCCCATTAAAATCTTTTTCTCCCATTTCTTTGTTGACTTGTGTCAGGATGGTCAGCAGATCCATACGCCTTAAACAAATTACAAGAAAAAAAAAAAAGAAAGTTACATAGAAATACATGGTAGTTTCCAACTAGGCCTGTGAGGCTGGTCTGGGAAGTTATCCATGTTTGCTTGATACCATGATCCCTTGAGGCAAGGACAATGGCTTCCCTGTACTTCTGGCTAGTCACTCAGTTTGAACACTCTACTATGTAACCATTACACTCCACATAGATCTGAAGAAAAAAATTTCAGAAAGGCCACTCAGTGTAAGTTTTTCTACCAAGTGACATTTGTCTTCCCTCTCGGTACTGATTAGGAGCAGCATTTAGATAATATGGAGAAACAGATGAACACATCATCCAATCCCTCCCCCTGCTCTCCATGATGCTACACAAGACTTATCACCAGACACCATTTCCCTTCATTTCTAACCAAAACGCTAGCAATTCTTTTTTTTAATAGACCAGCAGCCTAGGGAAGGGAGGTTCTTGCCATTGTTCTTTACTAAAAAGATTTGCCTTCTTCCACAGACTCCCATTAATTCCCATTGGTCATTTAATATTGTAAAATTCTATACAGGATACATCTGGGGAGGTAGCACAGTGTGGAGGGTTGAACTGGGGACTGGGCACCTGAAGGTCCAACAATACAATCCTGGCTATGCTCCTGATTCATGTAACCTCAGGCAAGTCACTTAAAGTCAATCTTATTTGTACAACAGGAATAACAATACACACTTAGCAATGTGAAAGAGGGGTTGTGAGGTCTAATTAATGATCATGCGGTGCTTTGAAGATGCAAAGTGCTATATACAGTAAGTGGAAAGTACTATTGTCAATGGGTTTCTATTAAGCTAGTTTAAGAAAGTGTTTCTGGGACAAATGCATTCCACCTCTTCATCAGTCCTCTACGTGCTATTAAAATGGGGAATATGAGTAGTACTTACTGTGGGCAGAAAGACTCTATTCCCTTGCAGAGGCACTGAATGAATGCGCTGCCTCTCTCTATGTATCTGTAGCACTCAAAGTCTTCCACTGTAGCCATACTAATGAGGATATCAGCCCAGTCAGGAATGGAAGGCAAGGGTAAAGCATCTGTCTCCAGCTGTCGAGAAGAATCTTCTTCCACTAGGATACTTTTCTGCCCTGTCTTACCTTGGCAGGCTTGAATAAAGAAGAGTTTGGGTTTGCCAGCAAGCGAGGGGCACTCAGTTCCAGTGAAGCAGGAGACCAGATCTTTGACGGCTGCAGAATTCCAGTCTATCCCATATACTTTACCTTTTTCGCCATGTGAGAGTAAGCAGCAAATGAAACAGTCCATGTTGCTATGGTCCTTCTTGCTATACTTTTTGATTGTCTCATGGATTTCCTTTGCTTCTAGGTTTCGGTGCTCGATTGTCTCAAACTGAAGCCACTCAAAGACCTGTTTCAGAGCCTCTGAGAGAGAAAGCGAGAGGGAAAGTCAGCACTCATTTAACATAAAGAAACAGAGGAGAGGGAAGAACAAGAGACACCGTCAGGCAGTTTGGAAAGTGTTACAGTCCCACAAAGAAGCCCACCTTATTTTTCCACACCCTGTCAGTCCTCTTGGATAAAAATGATATTGCCCTAGCAAGAAATACACAACTATTCATTTACTCCTGATACAATGCCTTTGCCTTGAGCATCATGCTGTCCTCCCAGAAAAAAGCAGGTTTTACTTCCATAGAAATCAATCATCATAAATTAGGAGAGGTTAGTTTGCTTAAGCATCTTTCACCAACTTCATGCTGCACAGAGATTTGAGATACTTATGAATAGCTCTTGATAAAACAAGATAATGATGATGTACTTATTTAAGGCTGGATTCTGCCACTCTTCCAAGAAGTAGTTCCTTATTCTGCAAATAATCCTGTTGAAATTAACTACTCTGTGCAGAGCAAGAGCAGCAGAATCTGGCTCTTACCAAAGGTAAGGATCTACACAGCTTTCCCAGTACCTGCTGACTTTGTAATGGGCGAGAAGAGTCTTCTAGAGAAAAGAGGGTGACTGGAAACGAGCAACTTGAAAGGGGTCAGAGTTAAAATTCAGCCATATACGCTTTTTTAAGACACCATGTTAAAAAGGAAGGATGTGTGGATTCAGACAGACATGGAGTTATTGCAGGAGGAAGGAAGGGCTTGGAGGCAAATGGCAAGATAAGATAGTTGGATTCATTTGAGCATTGCTGCAACCAGATTTGTCTATCTACTGGATCAGAACACTTTCTAACTGGCAGTGTGGTCTCCGGATATCCTCCAGCTGCAGACAGTAGGTTAAGTGAACACAGAATTGAGAGCTTACGGATTTCATGGCAATTCTAAGAACACGACTATTAAAAAAAAAAGAAAGAAGTCATCAAGCAGAAAGACAACATAGCAGAAAAGGCATACACACATATATATGTACACACTCTGTCAACAATAGCTTGTACCCAGAACAGAAAGACTTTCCTTCCTTAAACTACATTTTTAGCATATTCTGTCCAAGAGGGTAAAAATAAGTCTGTCAGCTATAAACAGACAAATTCTAATGCGGGAATTGCCAAGGAGACTAAAAGGGGTGTTTTTACAGCAAGATAACTAATCTGAGTCAGCTCTCAGGCTGTAAAATCCTGGCGGAGACAGCCTCTGATGTCACTGCAGTATAAGGAGGTGAGGTCATCCACAGGTGGGGAGTGTAGTGTTGACCTCACCGAGCAACTACAAGGTAAAAGCTACTTCTATCTCCATTAGGCTGTTATAGGGAGAGAGCTAACACGGATTAATTGTCAAGCTGTAAGAAGACCATCCTTTTTAGCAGTGAAGAGACTGCTTTTCCAATGCCATAATGGCTGACACTTCTGTCAGACCAACCATGGAGGGAAGGGAGCTTGGTGAGAGTGGTCTTGTGAAAGGAAAGAGTGACAACTAAGTAGCTTATCCATTTTACAAAGAAGGGTAGATTAAATGGTTCCCTCAGACAAAGAAACCCCCGCAGTAGTTCAACAAGCAAAATAATTACCAGCATCTTTGTCTGTGCCTGTCCTGGTTTCATCAGGATTTTTAAAATCAGAGTTGTTCAGTATCACACAATAGCCATGAGGATTATTGTCCATTCTGTAGGAGTTCTTGAGCTGTAGAGATGTACAGAGTGTAATGACAAGATTGTAAAAGCAACATAAAGAGCTGTGGGTTTTAAGGTACCCAAAAGAGAAATGGGATGATTGTTACCCCGCCTCATCTAAGCCCCACAGACATACCACACGCTGGGGCGCTGGGGAAGCGCTGTAGGGGAAGTCTGTGAATCTGGGACAGCTCTAGCCTCTGCCTGCAGGGGGATGGAAGGGAGTGGGGAAATAAAAACCCTGTTTCCTTCCCCCGAGCACTCCTTCCCTCCCCCATGGCGAGTTTATTGTTCTGGAGTAGAGGGAAAGGGAGCAGGTGTTTGTCCCAGCCCAACGCGCCCCTCTCCCCCCAAGAGCACGTGGTGGGGGCTACCTTTGAGATTCCTGCTCCCTCCTTCCTTTGCTTGGTGGGGTTCGTTGGTTCTTATCCATTGATTCAGCATGATTTGAGGGAGGGAGGGAAGTGCTTAACCATGACTGCCGGAAACTCTCCACTGGCTTCAGGGTGTCCTGGTGGTTCTCTTCCCCTCTCCCACTCCCCCAGTGGCACACATTGCTCTGTTTCCTGTCTAATGGGGTGTTGATCCTCAGGCAACACAGCAAAGGGTGGGGCTTACTCTTGTATTCTGGATGAGAGTTCCCTAGGGCCTCAACAACAATTGTAGGGAGGGTTGTAAATGGGATTTATGCCCATGAGGGTCAGGAGCAGAGCAGCAGTTCAAGCTAAACATCAGGATTTCTTACCTTTGGCACTGACACTGCTTCCTTTGCTCCCAATTCACCTGGGCCCACAAATGCACATGTTTTAGGGCAAGGAACTTCCTGGTGAATATGACCTACAAGGGGCACGAAAGGAGATTTAGAGTCAAAAGGACAGTCTTAACTTTAACATAATTCAGTATAAAAAATGGCATCCAACTGATCTGAAGGAGTGGGGTGGGGACTAGCTTCCATTGTGGACACATCATTTTGAGGGATCTTTAGACAGAGATTCATTTTTTGCTATCTCCAGCTGAGCAAATCCATAGATGGGCTTCCTTTTTAAGGAAAGATGCTTTGCAATAGATTACTTGGTCAATATGTAACTGCTGCAAATGATCACTACTATCAGGGGAAGGCGAGTTTTGTCTTATGAGTGAGTGTTGGACAAAAAAAAGTGACCCTGTGTCCTGTTAAAGGGAATATTTTCTTCCCATTTTTCTTGGATTTAAATTCAAAGGAAGATCCATTATACACTATGTTGAAAAGAGCTACAATAATATCTTGGAGCAGAAGTGGGACAGCAGCAAATGTTTCAGAAAGACCATTGTTGTAACATTGCTAGATGTCAGAAACCAAAAGGCATATACCGATGGCTGCCACGCAGTTGAAAAAAATAAATAAATAAAAAGGAGATTTTCGTATTTCCACCAGAGTATAAAAAGGAATATAAAAGGAGAGTTTCTTCAATTCAGATAAGAAATCACAGAGTCGGGAATAGATGTGATTTGCTATTTCCTGCAAAGTCCTGGATAGTTAAATAAGAAAAATGCTTTATTTGGGGAGGGAGAGTGAGGCATTGAGGCCCTGATCCTGCAATGGGATACGCACAGGCATAAAGCTCCCCTCTGCATGGATCCTGTCTGATTTTGGCCTGCACGCCGTTTGCTTGGAAAAAAAATCAAAAGAGAATTCTGGATGAGGAGAGAAACATAGAGAAATAGAGCTAGAGGATGAACTGTCTGAACCGATCGGTATTTCTAATGTCCAAGCTCTCATCAGCTAATCTGTCACTCTTTGTTGAGCATTTAGTATTATTTGCAATGTCCTCAATGTGCTAGGCATGTTCTAAAGAGAACATTTATTAAAAATAACAATAATAACTGAATTCTGCCAAGCCTAGTAGAAGTCCAGCTGAATCCCTCCATAGGCAGCACAGCAGAAGTGGGTAATCAGGAGGGACTAAAAGGGGGATCAGCTCAGCAAGGGTGTTTCATGCACTGGGGACAGTGTAGAAGGAGGCACTGAGATAATTAAGTCAGAAGCTGAAAAATTGGTGGACACAGAAGCATCGTTCAGTTATTCAGACACTAGCCTGAGGCTCTGGAATCTCATGTTCAATTCCCTGCTCTGCAACAGACTTCCTTTGTGACCTTGGGCAAGTCACTTTGCCTCTGTAACTCAGTTCCTCACCTCTAAAGTAGGGACAATGGTACATCTCTACCTCACAGGGGCTCAGATACTGTAATAATGGGGACAATATTGGATAGAATCACCTGCTGGAGCAGAGTGTTAGACAACTTCCAACCCCTAAAACATGACAAACTGCTCACATTTTCATCATTGTTTACCACTTAGATAATGTCTATAGCCTTAGCACCTATGGGCCTACCACTGCTTAAGATCAGGCTGTTTTTAGGTATATTTAGTTAGTGATGATTAGTCCTATTTTTAACCATATGAATCAAGAGGCCGAGTCTACATGGCACTGACCATGAAATCTTTACAGGCTTCAGAATCTAGGTGGGAAACAATGCAGGTAACAAACTTCTTCACACTTAGGGCAGTGACCAGACTCTTAGCTAAATTACATTTAATTAAGTGAGCCTGTGCTCTAGTTCATACAGGAATTAATTCAGGGGAAGTCTTAAGGAGACAAGACCTGATCACAAGGGTCTCTTCTACCCTTATAATTTATTAATCTACTTAAGGAGCAGTAACAAAATACCTTCGGTAATTGTCAGGCTCTGAAAAGAAGGTTCCAAGCTTGTGATCGATTCATCTGGGGCTGAAACATGAAGAGACAAGAATAATGATGGAAAAATTCAACTGAGGCTATCCCAGGTCTCAGAGCAGCCAGATTCTCAAGGCATCAGGTTTACTACACGCCTAGTCTTCAACAGAAGCTACCCTGAAGCCTTAAAGGACAAATAGCCTGGGCAGACAAAGCAACTCATCCAGTACACACACAATTCTGGTGAGCCTCGCTCTCTGTGTGAAGTTATCTAAACTGTCAATACATTAGATCATGGTCAACTGACACCAGTTTCCAACATGGGAAAGAAACCCTGTAGCTGTACCAGTTCTGCAGCTTCTTCGCTATATTTGTCACGTCCCACTGAATAAGAGTTCCCTTGAGGTTTTATTTTTAGGTGCTGAAGGAGAGCCCTCTTTCTGTTAGTGACTGATGATTCTCTTCTTGTCCCCTCCAGGAATGGGTTCCCCTCTTGCCCTCCTGGTGATGGATTAGCCCATTGACAGGTTGACCATTTCTGTTGCCCTGGCTGAGATAAAGGCCCTGGGTCTATACTACAGAAATAACAATATTTAAACAGGATTGTGAAAAATGGTTGTAACACAGGCATCTACTAGGGTTAAAACATAATTCTCCATCACGGTTATGACTGGGGATGTAAATAGGGTTTAAAATAGTAACCATGTAACCTATTAAAATTCTATCAGTTAAACAGTTAACTGTTAAGAAGTTCACATAGGCAGAGAACTGGGAGTGCAAGGGGTGCTGCAGCACCCCCATGTTTTAGCGCATCACCCCTGCTGTCCCCGTGCCTGGGGTCCCAGCTGCCGTCCCCATGTCCCGGGCACAGAGCTGGCAGTGGAGTTTAATTGTTAACCAAAAACCAATAAGAACAATGCTCATCAGTTAACCAGTTTTACATCCCTAGTTATGACATTTTTATACTGTCTAGACCGGCAAAAATAAGTCATAATCACGTTTAAACATGGCTGTGCTGAAAAAGTATTTTTCTGTAGTGGCAACAGGGCTGAAAAACATGACTCCTTCCTGCTCCATCTAAAGAGATGAATTAAATAATTTTCCCCCTTGGCTACAGTCCTGGTCTACAATAGAATTCCTGGAAATCTCCCACTGTTACAATGCCTCTAGAGGCAGCGGTGGGGAGCCCGATTGTGTAGACATCATTCAGGTGCCCTCTGACGGTTACTGTGCTGATTACATCTACCCTGCGCTAGATAACAAGGGGTGATAAAGCACCAGTGCTCTGTTGACACTAGTGCTTCCACTGTTGCTGCCACTAGTGGGAGAATTTTTATAGTCAAGATTCGACGCAGCCACTATCTGCCTCAGAGCCATTATCTGCTCTACTCACCAAACAGGTGATGCTTCACAAGTACATCCTTAGAATGGCTGGGAGAAAGAGTCCAAATGCTCTGAGAGCCGTCCAGGGGGCCTCAGAGAAACATACACGACTGTGCCAAATGCAAATGAGAACCTGCTATGAAAAAAAGTCTGTGTATTCTCACTTTCCCCTGGCCGCTGGATGGTGCCTCTCATTAACTGTTTCCTGAACGTTGGGCCTGTCAGGTGAACAAGTCATTGCTTCAGCCCCAAAAGCTGATCAAGAACACAGTAACTGGAAGTGCTGGAAATGTCCCAGTTTCTGTTTTAAAGCATTTGGCACCGACTGGAGTAAAAACGCCTCCCTTCCAAACCCTTTCTGTTATGCCTCTTTCCAACCTTTCCACTAGCTGACGGAGATTAAAGCCTAGCAGCTCGCTGAATGCAAGATCTGTAAGTCTACAGACTAGTCTCCCAAGGGAAGAGGTACAGGTCTCACTCTTGGAGACATTTAAAACTAGACTGGTCAAAGCACAGAAATTAATACTAGGCAGAACAATTTTTCAATAGTTCCTAAAGGGGGCAGACGACATCCAATGTCTCCCTCATCACCACCTCCTTTGGTCCTCGGGACTCAGTCAAAAGAATATTCAAATGGGTAGTTTAAAATCATTACCTTGTGTTTCTACTTCGTAGGTATTAATTTTTTGCACCAGGTCAGGTCTAACTTCCTGTAAAATACTCTTCAGCACCTTTAATTTGGTTTCATTCATTATCCCAGCTTTTTCCATTTCTATAAAGAGCTTCAATATTGTCTGTTTAAAAAAAATATTCTGATGTATTAGTTTCAGGTAGCACCCAACATGTTAGGCATCATACCAAAAGGAAGGCAAGGTTCCCTGCTCTGAGGAGAGGACAAGCTGAAGACAGAAACAGACAGAGAATTGGGGGGAAGAGAAATACACCAAGTTAGAAGGTGGTAGCGGGTGTTAAGATGTGAATTAGCCACCTCATGGGAAAATAAATTAAGCTAAAACAAGGGATTTTAGGGCTGGTTTACATATGGTTTTTCTGCACATATGTAACAAAACAAATTTTATTAAACCAGTGCAAACCACTAAGTAGATACTCTTAAACTGGTTTAGCTTAATCCAGTAATGGACCGAATTAAATTAAACTAGAATAAAAAGTGTGGTATAAACCTGGATAAGTGCATCTCTATTCCAGATGCGTAACTAAAATGGATTTTTAAAAAACAATTTAGTTACACTGCTTTAGGTTTTCCATTACATCAATTATTCCTAATTACTACCCAAATTTGTAATTGTATCAGCTAATCTTCCCATGGGGACTATAGCAGATTTGGGGCTTTTAGGGAGAGTTTTAATGCAGAGCATAGAGGCCTTGTGGATGAACTCAGGAAGGGTGCTTATGAACAGTATGTAGTATTTTCATAGCAATTTCTATCTTCAAAGATAGTGATTTGTCTATCTAACCTTCACCATACCCTGGGAGGCAGCTAGGCACATTATCCAGTGTTACAAATAAGGAAAGGGACAGAAAGGTTAAGTGACTTTCCCAGGACCACCCGAGTCATTGGCAGAGCCAGGATTACAATTTAGGATTGTCTGACTCCCAAACCCTGTGCTTTTTCTCCAGCTCACATCCTCCTCCTTTGGGTGCCACCCAAACATCAATACCCTGAAAGCAGTGGGAAGAGAAAAGGAGTGTGCTGAATTTGTGGGAGGCAGAGGCAGGGAGATGGATGGTGTGGATAAGACAATGAGAATGTGGGAAAGACTGATAAAGTGGTGGGGAAAGGAGACTAAGACAGGAGGGAGAAAGAAGGACCCATTCTCTAATGGAGACCATCTCACAGCTCTTCCACTTCCTCTGAACAATATAATCTTAACATGATCCATCCCCACTGCAAACTGGGATTTACATGCACCTGTTCTCTCTACCTCCTTCGAGGAAAGAGTTAAACTATGGCTACTACAGACCTTACAGCGGTGCAGCTGAACTGATGCAGCTGTGCCACTGTAAGCTCTCTGTGTAGCTGCTCTAAGCTGACGGGAGAGAGCTCCCGTTGGCTTAATTACTCCAGCACCTGCTGGTGGTAGCGCTCTCATCGACTTACGCACCAGTGTGCTCAGCACTAAGTCGGCATAAGTTATATTGCTTAGGGGGGTGGGTAACCACACCATTGAGCAATATAACTTATGTTGATGTAAGGTGTAGCATAGCCATAGCCAGAGACTCAAAACCAACTTTGCACAAGAAGCCACCACGATCAAGTGCTCTTACAGCATTGTCCTGAAGCTTCTTCTTTGGAAGCTCCTTTTGCAGCAGGAATCTTACACTGGCAACTTCTTCACTAGTTATTTCTTCAGAGATTCTGTAAAGTAGTTGCCTGACAATAAAGGAAGGAGAGAGGGAAGAAAGGAAGCAAATTAGCCAAAATGAAGATTACCTACATGCCCCATGTGCCTGACAAGCTGGTCCACAGTAAAAGGGTTTGCTTCATCCTTATCACTGCTATGTACAACATCCTTGAAAGCCAAGACCAAGATCACCACCACAGTATCAGAAAATTGGTGTGGTCCAAAGTGAAAACAATTGCTCTCGGAAGCACTCAGTGGCATGCTTCCAGGAATGAGACAGTACATAGCACACATCAGGTTACAAGTAACCTAGGTAAGACTGGTTTCAGAGTAACAGCCGTGTTAGTCTGTATTCGCAAAAAGAAAAGGAGTACTTGTGGCACCTTAGAGACTAACCAATTTATTTGAGCATGAGCTTTCGTGAGCTACAGCTCACTTCATCGGATGCATACCGTGGAAACTGCAGCAGATATTATATACACACAGAGATCATGAAACAATACCTCCTCCCACCCCACTGTCCTGCTGGTAATAGCTTATCTAAAGTGATCATCAAGTTGGGCCATTTCCAGCACAAATCCAGGTTTTCTCACCCTCCACCCCCCTACACACAAACTCACTCTCCTGCTGGTAATAGCCCATCCAAAGTGACCACTTGTGTGGATGAGCTATTACCAGCAGGAGAGTGAGTTTGTGTGTGTATGGGGGTGGGGGGGTGAGAAAACCTGGATTTGTGCAGGAAATGGCCCACCTTGATTATCATGCACATTGTGAAGAGAGTTGTCACTTTGGATGGGCTATTACCAGCAGGAGAGTGAGTTTGTGTGTAGGGGGGTGGAGGGTGAGAAAACCTGGATTTGTGCTGGAAATGGCCCAACTTGATGATCACTTTAGATAAGCTATTACCAGCAGGACAGTGGGGTGGGAGGAGGTATTGTTTCATGATCTCTGTGTGTATATAATATCTGCTGCAGTTTCCACGGCATGCATCCGATGAAGTGAGCTGTAGCTCACGAAAGCTCATGCTCAAATAAATTGGTTAGTCTCTAAGGTGCCACAAGTACTCCTTTTCTTTTTTCTAGGTAAGACTCAGGCTCTCTCTCTGGATTTGAGAGGATCAAATCCAACCCCAAGCCTGCTTGACCCCTCTCTAGTTACAATACAATACTATGATTGTGAGATAATATCCAGGAAAAAAACATTCTCGGAGACTGAGTCTCTTTAGGAAAATGGAGATGTCACTTCTGTCGGAATAGTACCAAGGACACAATCAATAGCATTAGCGCATAGAGCTAAATACCAGTCCTTAAGTGTGCAAGACGCACAGAGCCAGACTGAGAAGTATAAAATTCTCCCTGGATTTGTGTGTGAGATAAAATGGAAGACAATTCAGATAGGAAACAAGAATGAACCTGGACATAACAGAACATCTCTACCTGGGTCTTTTAAGCCCAAAGGCCCCAAAGAGTCCTTACTACCACACTGCATACCTATATGGTGAAACTTTTGCCTTGTTTGGGATTTGAAGCTCCCTCTCCATTTCGTCTCTGCTGGAGCTCAGTTTACCAGTCAGGAGGTCTATGCGGTTTACTCTGAACATTAGCTCCTTTAAGAAGGACAGATCATCCTCTTCTATCAGTCCCTTCTTCTGGAGCTTTTGGAAAAAATCTTTGGGATCCTGAATGTTTTCCTGATTCTTCAGTGGGATGTACTCTAGACTCAGAAACTTCAGGGCCATCAAGGTTTCTGAGTCCAGTTCCTCGCTGATGAAGAAGAGAAGCTTGTATATATCTGCGCTCATTTTATGGCTGAGAGATGAAGAATCAGATCTAAACACAAAGTGAGATGATGATGGAACAATGGGATTGATGGGCCAGTTCAACACAATTACAAAGGAGTCACATCACATGGAATGCTCCATAATAAATAGATACATACATCTTATGTCCCCCCCCGTCATAGTTTTGATGTTAGGTCTCTTTTGTCCCCTTTCAATTGATCACCTTTAGGAATCTGCACTTGGGAACAGAAGCAAAGGTAAGAGAAAATGTAATGGAGACAAGCTCCTCCTGCTTTCCCTGGGAGGATGTTTGGGGTTTGCTGGCAGCAGAATCAACCTAGCTGCATGCAAGTGCTTCCTTTTTTCTTTCCTAGATCTTGTCTGTTGTTCTTTTGAAAGTCAGCATTATTCTTTTTCTAGAGATTTAATGCTACCCAGAAGCAAGATCCATATATCTGACACCTGTTTCCCCTAGATCTAAAATCAACAAAGTGTCTGAGCAATAAATGAGACCCACAGACATTACTCTATCACAGATGTGTGTCTTAATTGTAGTAAAAGCTTCCCTAAGCTACTACTGCTTCTATAAACAATTTTTTTTGTCTGGCCCCTGCAGGTCCCTGCAACCAGGCCACTCCAATTGTTTAGACAGGAAAGATAATTCACTTTTACTTGTTGTCTCCAGCACTTGCAAACTACAGCTCACTTACAAGCTAAGCTAATTACTATCACGCTGCACATTTGTAAGTTACAGATCAGGTAAAGAGCATACTGATAATTTCCAAAGCTTTAGTAGAGGTTGGAGCCACATGTTTCCCATTTCACTGTGCACCTAAAGCCCCCAGTGACCTTTGAATTTTCAGTCCTGGACTACAGTTAGGGCAGGACACAAGTACAGTAGAACCTCAGAATTACAAACTGACCTGTCAACCACACACCTCCTTTGGAACCGGAAGTATGCAATCGGACAGCGGGCATGGGGGAGCAAATACAGTTCAATACCATGTTAAATGTAAACTACTAAAAAAATAAAGGGAAAGCAGCATTTTTCTTCTGCATAGTAAAGTTTCAAAGCTGCATTAAGTGGATGTTCGGTTGCAAACATCTGAAAGAACCACCATGTCTTGTTCAGAGTTACGAACATTTCAGAGTTATAAACCACCTCCATTCCTGAAGTGTTCATAGCTCTGAGGTTCTACTGTACTGAATTTAGAATGGGCCTCTGAATTTGGGCATATGGAGCATGAGGCTCCAAAAATCCTCAGACCATAGTGTGGGAACAGTAGCATATGCTGCTCATCTGTCCGCCTCATTGCAGAGAGTGCCCGTCAGTGCTCTGCTCCCTCTGTGACAGCACAGCAGAAGGGCTACCCAGGGATATCAGAGGAGGGTGAGGGTTTGGGAGAAAGAATCTATCGGGTGGCTGAAGTTCTTTGAGTGGACTCTGTGGGGGACCCCCTCTTAGCATGCTTGGAAGGTCTCTCTCCTCCAGTCTTTTTCATTTGGGCACCATTCTGAGACTGAAATTGTGAGGGAACATTTAGTATGGCAACCCTTTGGGAGAGCAAGCCTGCCTCCCACTGTCAGATTGCCAGAGAAGTCAGTAATCCATGTGTTTGGTGGCAGTGTCCAAAACCCCACCATGAGGTTGGGATCCCCCCCTTGCAGTTGGCTATCTTCAAACACATTGCAGCTTTGTGTAGACCAGGGTTTGTGATTCTGAGGTACAGAGTTGACTGATTGCCAAATTAACTTGAGTTAATGAATATAATTGTAAATGCTAATCTAGACACTCTACAATAATTTGTTCCATGACACAAACGTTTGTGGTTGACTTGAGGGCCCATTTTAAGGTAAACTGCAAAGTTCTGAGGAGCGTATGGATTAGCATTCACAATCATGTTAGTTAACTTGAGTTAATTGGCAATCTTTTAACTGGTTACTATACAGTAGGACCTTAAATTCTTGTCTAGAAAAACCTAGTAAAACTCACTCCCTGTCCTACAGAGCACACTATCTAAAGCTCTGTTCCCCGACCCTCAATGTATACAAAATTAAATGTATTTCTCTTTTAAATGTATACAAAATTAGTTTAGAAACAGATGAGACTCTGCACCTCTGGGCCATATGAAAACTAAATGAGAAGAGGCACGAGTCATTCAGACAGGAGTCAGTGCTTTCAACTGCTTGATCTTATTTGTTACTTCTCTGAAAAAAAAAGAAGAATACACACTTGATGGTTAATTGTCAATTTAAGATTGGGGGAACAGGTGTCCTCTGACACACATGCATACCCCTAGATTAAGGTATAAGCAATTTATAGCCATAAAAACGATCTTTCTGGAAAAGGGAATTAATTTCACTTTCACTTTCAAAACTTTCTGTAAACTTTGAACACTATAGTTTATATACTGTCTATTTTGCATACATATATCTGCATGTGTGTATGTCTGCCTGTGCTGATAGCATACTAAAAATTCTAACTCCATTGTCTTCCGGCATTAGATTATAATCCAAAACAGGGAAAGAGAAAAAACTAGAAAGAGATATTGGCCTAGCAAAACTCAATTGCCTTCAAACATAAAATGATATTGAAGTTAAGGATGTGGATTTCACTTACTTTTGGGGTCAGATAGCTCAGTGAATGAAATGCCTCTGGATCTTGTTCCTTCTCAGTCCCAACAGGAAGTCATGCAACAGGAAAGGACTGGTCTCGAGACTGAGTGTATTGTCATGTGATTTACAGTAGTAGGTTAAATTAAATGACAACAGAATGAAAATTGTGATATTAACACAATGTCAACAGAGCTGTTCAATTCCGGAACTTGTCATCATTACAATTTCAAATATTACAAATAATCAAATATTGCAGATATGGAAACAGAGTTTGTAAAAATAAAACAAATAAACTAGTAAAAAGGGGTGAGTTGGAGCACAGCAAGCAGCATAATCAGGACACCTCTTGTTACGAAAGGAGACTTGAGTTGTTTCCTCTAAATGAAGAATTAAAGGGTCAGGAGAAAAACACGCTTGCTTCAAAAAGCTTTTCCACTTTAAAGTTTGTCTCTGTCCCACTTCCCTGCTTTGCCATTGGATCCTTCAGTCCAGAGGTGGGCAAACTTATTGGCCTCAGGGCCACATCTGGGAATAGAAATTGTATGGCAGGCCATGAATGCTCACAAAATTGGGGCTGTGGTGCGGGAGGGGGTGAGGGCTCTGGTTGGGGGTGCAGGCTCCGGGATGGGGCCAGAAATGAGGAGTTCAGGCTGTGGGAGGGGGCTCCAGGCTGGGGCAGGGGAGTGGAGAATGGGGTGGGGGGTGAGGGCTCCGGCTGGGGGTGCGGGCTCTGGGGTGGGGCTGGGACTGAGGGGTTTGGAGGGCAGGAAGGGGGATCAGGGCTGGAGCAGGGAGTTGGGGTGCGGGGAGAGGCTCAGGGTGCAGGCTTTGGGCGGCTCAAGCGGCTCCCAGAAGCCGCGGTATGTCCCTTCTCCAGCTCCTATGCGGAGGCGCAGCCAGATGGCTCTGCATGCTGCCCCATCCGCAGGCACCACTGCTGCAGCTCCCATTGTCTGAGGTTCCTTGCCAATGGGAGCTGCGGGGCTGGCACTTGGGGCGGGGGCAGCGTGCAAAGCGGAGCCCCCTGACTACTCCTACGCGTAGGAGCCGGAGGAGGGCCAGGCCGCTGCTTCCAGGAGCCCTGGCTGGAGCACCAGAGCCGGGCAAGCCCCAGACCCCGCTTCCCAGGAGGAGCTTGAGGGCCAGATTAAAACAACTGGTGGGTTGGATCTGGCCTGCGGGCTGTAGTTTGCCCACCCCTGCTTCAGTCCCATCTATCTTACTATAGTGTCCATCTTTTCTATGCAGTTGGATCATTTTTAACATGCAATATTTTTTATGGAAAATTATTTTATTTATATAAAAGAAAAAAGGAGAGAGACGGCCACCACCACCAAATACACAACCGGCACTCAGTGAACACATGGAACTGTAAAGTCTAAATGTTCTCTTGAAATTCATGTGTCTGAATGGTGTTTCAGAAAGATACATTGTAATGAATTGGTGATTAGTACTGGCCAAAAAACAAGAATTCTGTTTTGCAATATATTTACAAGTTGCAAAATCTGTTTTTGGTCGAATGCTGAACAACAAAATCGAGACCTTTTCAAATTTTTCATGAAAAATACCAGCAAGGCAGACACAATGCCAAAATAGCCAATAGCTCAGTGGTTAGGACACTCACCTCCAAAATTAGGCAGAGGAGGGACAGGGGTTTCCACGAATTGGCATTTTCTTAAGAAAAACATTTAATCAAAAAACTCTCAGCCAGCTCTCTCAGTAGACACCTAGACCTTAAGGGGTGTCATCCGCTCAAAACTCCATAGTGGCAGGGGACAGAGCTCAGCTATTCCTTTGTTCCAGAACCATAGGCCCTCTCCACCTAAGCTAAAGGAGGCTTTCTATCAGCTGCCTGTGATACAGGATCTATGGCAAACAGCTGAGCAATTCTGATTCTATACACCTTAGCCATTTGTATGCATAGCTACTACTACATTAGTTGATTGCAATATTAAGGTATTTATTCTAAATTATTGGTATTTCATTGAGATTAACGAAGTCCAAGAGGACCCAAGGGAGAATGAATACATGAAAAGAAAAGATCTCCAAGATCCGCTCCATTTTACAGAGAGGCACTGGTTTCAATTTCCCTTAGCATTTGAGTTGCTTTTGATTTCCAAGCAGTTCTCTTACATATCTTTGTAATTTCCAAATGATCAAAGTTATTGTTTTAACTTTTCATATGCCATCTCTAATTGTACGCAGATGTGGATTTCGCCATTAATACAGGAATACTGTCTCAATACTTCCATCTTTACATACATCTAAGTTTAGCTTTACATCTCTGAGAAGTAAATAGGTTGTAAGTATGGCCATATGTACTGCTCATCTGTTTCACAGATCCTATGCTGCTAACAGAAAAAAGAATGTCCTTTATCTTCCGTGGCAGGGGGTCTGTTCTTCACAAAGTTTACAGAACCACTGGCTTAGGTATCACACCCCAATTCACCCATTAACCACACTCATGCAGACAGTAAATTCCCTTATGTCTGCAGAACTGGGATAGCACTCTTTTCCTGTGGATCTAAGCAGGCTCACAGATTTAAAATCTGCCAGAGGCGGCTCCCTTCCCACCAATATCCTAAGGCAGTGGTTTTCAACTTGTGATCCGTGGACCCCTGAGAGTCCACAGACTATGGCTAATTTCCATTTGAAATTTATTAAGCGTCTGCAAATGAAAAAAGGTTGAAAACCACAGTCCTAAGGTCTGCTTAGCAGTGGACTCATTCCTGTGACTTTACAGCTGTATCTTTTCAGAAGTGCATTATCTTCACTGGGGATAATGTCACTCTGGCATTGTCTGTGACCAACACCTACCTGTAAATAAATCAGGGTTTTCAGATTTAATAATTTTATTAAGATAATGTTGAAGTAAAAAGAAAACGGTACAGAGTTTAAGCATAGAAGTTTCTGGTTATCAGGGAAAAGGTACAGATTATCAAGGGGTGCGAAATTCGGTTTAGGAACGGGTGGCGTAAGGAATATATAATCTGCAATCTCCCCGATTGGGGGTAAAAATTTAATGGGTCAAAGTACAGACATTGAGATATGGGGGTATGTTGTCCATAAAATGGACATGTTCAGATGTGGAGTATAATGAGCGGATATGATGATGAGGATGGATCTACCCTCATTTGGTGGGATTTAACGTTCAATGAGTTTATGGTTCCAGTTCATATGGTCCAATGGAAAAAGTCTCTCAGTCCCTTTCTCGTAGTTGATGCATGATTTTGTACTGGCTCACACCTCCTGGTACTGTCGGTGGCCAGTGATGTGTTTGATGTAGATATCCCTGGACCATCGGATGGTGTCCGAGACCATGAGGCGCTGCATGAGCCGTGCGTAGCGTCGACCGATCCCACAGGTCCGTGGCACACACTCATTGCAGGGGTCCCAAGCGCCCAGGGCTCCAACGATCAGGGCATACATCTGCACCTCGTAGCCCTTCGCTCTCAGGGTGTCGGCCAGGGGGGCGTATTTTTCCAGCTTACGAGCTCGGGCTTCGCGGAAGGCCGGAGTCCTGGTCTCGAAGGAGACCGTGATGTCAACAAGGATGATCTTTTTCTGGGCCTCGTCAGTGACTACCACGTCAGGTCGCAACTGGCTGTCAGTACCAGGGATGGCGCAGTTCACGGCGACCTCCCCCAGGCGCGGTGCGATGGCTTTCACCAGGCGGTTCTGGACGGCGTTGTGGCGCAGCTGGCAGGCTCTGGAGTGGGGCTTGCAGCTGCACAGGACATGGGGCAGGGTCTCATTGGAGTATCTGCACTTCCTGCAATGCTGGTCTCGGTTCCCATGGCGGACGGCTCCGTTGAGCAGGATGCAGTTGAGCCGGGCGCAGTGGATGAACCGCCAGTCGACGAAACGGGTGAAGCCGCCCCCGGCGAGGAAGTGGTTGCTGGTGTCCCACTTCCTGGTCAGTTCGAAGGCTTTACTCTGGTCTGGTTTACGCTTCAGAGTTTCCATGTGCAGTGAGTGGATGGCTGCCTTCAGGGTCCTCTCCAGCATGCCCCTGGCGCTCGGGGTGACAATGGTGTTGTCGTTGGACCTCTTCTGCGGCACCAGGACTCCCAGCTCCTGGTGTTCCTCGCACCACTCCCAGTGGCAGCCAATGCGCTTCCCCAGGTGACGCGTGGCATTGCGAGCGCGGGACCACTGTGAAGCGATGACACGCCCATCCCGTCCGAATTCGCCATCCAGGGAACCGCTCAGGAAGTTGGCGGTGTCTTGGTTGGAGGGGGGCTCTGCCGATCCGCTTCTTTGTTGCGTCATGGAGGGCGTTTGCTGCGATGTTCCTTACCATGGCGTCGGGACACGTCAGCAGGCCGAAGGCGTGGGTGATCACCGCGATGTCACACAGGTCACCCATGCGGGGGACATTGGCATTGCCATGCCTGTGGACGATATAGACCAGCTCGTCGCTGGCTCTCTGGGGGAGGAACAGCCACTTCTTCACCAGCTGCCGGACGATCTTTTCTGCCTTGTTGAGGGGTACCTTCGCCGTGGCAGATCCACTTAGGACGAACCAGATGCGGGGGATCAGGAAGGTGTTCAGGGTGTTTATCTTCTGCCACGGTGCTAGCAGGGAGGTGTTGATCTTGGCAGCATCCTACAAGATCTCCTGGATGACGTCCTCAGGTGTCTGCCGGACACGGAAACTCATTGGCATGCCGAGGTGCTGGTACGCCTGCCCCTATGCCAGGGGGATGACGGGCTCGCCCTGGATCTGGAACCCTGTCGTCTGCACTGAGTCCCTTTTGCTGCCATCGATGTGGAGAGCTGCGCACTTCTTTGCATTGAAGCGGAGCCCCATCCAATCGGCAGCTCGACTGGTGGCATCTAGCATACGCTGGAGGCTCTCTGGGTCGTCCACGGTCAGGACCAGGTCATCCGCATAAGCCAGGATGCTCACTCTCTCACCGTGGACGGTTGAAGCCATTTGTGCCATTGGAGATCGCTCGCAGCAACGGCCCCATGGCGAGGTTAAAGATGATGGGGCTGAGGGGACAGCCCTGCTTAACTCCGCTCCGGATCGGGATCTCGGCGGTCTCCCCTTCGACCGAGCGAATGGTGGTGCTGCATCCCTCGTACACCTCTCGGATCACATGGAGGAAGTTCTCTGGCATCCCAAACTCCTGGAGCATGGCAAAGATGTGGTGGTGGGGGAGGAACCAAAGGTGTGAGCCAGGTTGAGCCATGCTACCATGCACTGCCTCCATGCCCTTCTGGCCGTTTCGATGGTGGTTTGGAGGGCAAAGTTGTGTTCATAGCAGCCCTCGCAGGACATGAAGCCTTTCTGGATGGAGCTGATGGCTCCCCTGCTCACCGACCACTCCGTGATCCTTGACGCCAGGCAGCTAGCATAGAGCTTGTACATCGTGGAGCAGAGGGAGATGGGCCTCCAGTTGCTGGGGTCATCCTGCTCACCCTTCTTGTACACCAGTACCATCATGGCCTACTTCCAGGAGCCGGGAGTCCGGCAGAATTGCTTGCACTGGTTGAAGAGCGTGATGAGGACCAGGCAGCCGGGATCTCGCTTTTTCAGGAGGCTGTAGGGGATGCAGTCTTTCCCAGGAGCTGTGTTTTTTGTTTTTGAGAGTCTGGCCATCACTTCCTTGGGCGTATAGTCAGTTTCC